GTATTCCCGGTTAAAAAAGATTCACCCCTAATATTTAAAAAAAATGCGATTTATTTTTTTGTACTTTCCTTCACGAAATGCCCCAGTTCAACCCACGCTACTATAAGTCAAAGACAAACATTTCCCAGACAGGAAAATATTCTGAAATATCTGCACCGTTTCTGCAAAGGAAACCCGCTTTTATTTTTATGAAGCGATCTAGCCTCACGCCGCTATACATCATGGGGGAGAAAATACGCTGAAAAACGACGAATCCGTATAAAAACCGCGAGGCTCTTGTCAAGATTAAACGAGCTCCTTTATGCTAATAAAGTATGTTTTAGATGGCGGGAAAATGTGCAGTAGAATGCGTTATAATACGGAAAAGAATACAATATAACAGTTATTATTGTATCTAGTGCGCAAAGTGCTACTTTGGTGTTCGATACTTGAATTTTTTAACGAGGCGTAGCCGAGTTGAAAAATTAGTCGAGATCACCAAAGTAGTTCGCGCACGAGTTGCAAACAACATCTTTTTTTCCAAACATTAAAAGCGGGATATCCCTAAAAATTATTATTATTATATTATCATTACTTCGAAAAAAAAAGCGTCAGCTTGGAATGTATGTTTTTTTATTACTGAACATCGTCATCGATTTCATTTTAGGTCGTTTTAATACTTGGTATTTCTGGTGCTTGCCGCCGTGAGGAACTTACTAAAATGACGGTGGATAACAGAGAAGATAAAGATTCAATTCTGATTGTTAAAGTACCCGATACAAAAACAAACATAGACCGAGTCTTTACAGTGTCAAATTTGAATTATATTGAGATTTACCGAAAATATACGCAGCTCTTCGACCAAGAAATGTTACCAGTCGCCGATTGTTTTTAAAATATCAAAATAAAAGATGTGTTAACCAAGGGGTCGGCATAAATTCTATTGGTAAGATGCCTAGCATGATAGCAAAACACTTGAAGCTGCCAGATGATGAGGCCTACACTGGGCATTGTTTCCGGAGAACTTCAGTCACACTCCTTACTAATGCAGGGGGTCATATATTTAGTTTGAAGCGTCACGGAGGATGGAAAGTTTCGACAGTGGCCGAGGGATATGTCGAGGATTCTATCAACAATAAAATTCAAATATCAAATAAAATTTTAGAGTGTCAAATACCGGGATCGAGTACCTCTACAGCAAAATTGGATAGTGTCTCAAGTCTCAAGTCCCAAAACCCCCATACATCAAGCAAAATCAGAACTATCTAGTTTGGGATTAAATATTGGTTCGTGTACTGGTTGTACTAATAATGTTAATATTGCAAATAATAACTAGAATATGCATTAGTGTTAGGTTTGATATTTGTTATTTGTTTATTCATGAATATTTCGAAATAAATATTTAGTTATGATTTAGTTCTTCATTTTATAAAGTGTATTTATAAAAATACACTTCCCCAATAAATTAACGCACCACAAAAAAATAACCAAAGGTTTAAGTTAAGTTTTTGTCAAAACCACTTATCCGATTTGGACGATTTTTTTTTTGAATGATAGGTTATTCTTTCCACAATGTTCCTATACTAACTGTATTTTGATAGGAACCCTTTTTATACTAATACCGGGTGTAGCAATTATAACGTGTTTTTTTAATAAATTTGTGACACCCTGTAGAGTTGATCAGTTACAGTATCAAGTTAAAATTGAAATCACATTTTAGCCTTATCTTTTTTTTACATTTTGTTTTTTTATTTACTCCATTATCTTCCTTATTACACGAGGAACAACGTTTTATAGGATGACATGATTTAATATTGGTTTTAATTAACATTTTACCATTTTACTCACTAAAGTAAGTAGCAGGCTATGGAAAAACACGGATTACCAGTAAATGTCAAATAGAGATGCTAGTTTCTGTGCAAACTTGTAGACCATTAGTATCTCTGAGCTGAGTTTGAAGGGTCCGAGCTGTTACGAAACGTTGTCTTAATGTTGAGAGTTTTAAAAAACGTTCCTGAATCGGATTGGTTCTTCGATTCCTGCCTTGTCCCGGCCTGCGACAATTACTCCCAGTATCTCTATACCGTTGTATAACTCGTGAAATGGTTGAGTGTGTTACATTAAATCGTTCACCACTTCTTCGGTAGCTTCAACCTTCCTCAGACAATATTAATGCTTGAGCACATTCTTCGCCAGTAAGATTTCTTGTTTCACGCACGTTGCATATTTTGATATAATAAAAGGATGAAAACGACTGACACTGACAACAAGCATCTCTATTTGATATTTACTGGTAATCCGTGTTTTCCCATAGCCTGCTACTTACTTTAGTGAGTAAAATGGAAAAATGTTAATTAAAACCAATATTAAATCATGTCATCCTATAAAATGTTGTTTCTCGTGTAATAAGGAAGATAATGGAGTAAATAAAAAAACAAAATGTAATAAAAAGATAAGGCTAAAATGTGATTGCAATTTTAACTTGATACTGTAACTGATCAACTCTACAAGGTGTCACAAATTTTATTAAAAAAACACGTTATAATTGCTACACCCGGTATTAGTATAAAAAGGGTTCCTATCAAAATACAGTTAGTATAGGAACATTATGGAAAGAATAACCTAACATTCAAAAAAATGTCCAAATCGGATAAGTGGTTTTGACAAAAACTTAACTTAAACTTTTGGTTATTTTTTTGTGGTGCGTTAATTTATTGGGGAAGTTTATATCTCGTATTTTAGTGATAGCTAATGGCAACATGACATGGCCAGATACAGTTTTACACCGCGTGACGTTTAAGGTCATAAACTACCTACTGGTTAAAAAACAAAAAAATATACCCTTTAAAGTTAAATCTTAAATAACTTAAAAACGATTTATTTTAGGTATAGGAACATGTATAGGAACACGTATAGGAACATAATGAAAATGTAACGAATTAAAAAACCTTTTCACTAGTGAAATAAAAAAAGTGGGTTTCCCTGTGGGTTTCCCTTTGAAAGTCCCGCTTCAGAAATAATGGCATCACTGAATTTTTACCACACTAAAATCCAACATTTAATTAAAGAAATTCAAATATTACAAAAAATATTAATTTCAGGTATATAACATTATATTATATAAAGAGTTATAGAATTTTACGTAGAATCTAAAAAATAAAATAAAAAAATAGAGATGTCGCATTTAAAAAAACAAATCTTGTATCCCCCACATTTCTTTGAAGGACTCTATCCTCTGTAATACTTTTAAAATGTGTACCTTAACATTCCTTATAACTTTTATATTTAACATTTTTTTGTAAACCTCGAAACAAATTTGACAATGGACTTTCCTCTATCGTTGACTTACCCTACAACAAAAGCAGAATTTCAGAAATTATGCTCTTAGCGCAATCCTTTAAATTTAATTTATCTCGAAAATATTTTGTATAAGAATCGCGAATGACGAAACAAATAAACAAAATAAAGTGAATAGCTCGCCGTTCCTCGTGTTTTCCTTTTTGCAAACAAAAACGGTCTTTTCTGCATTGTTCCAGCATAATAAGAGGAGATCGGAACAAAAAAACTTTTATACACAAGCTGAAGAATTAGCTCGACAAGGCTTTTGTATTATAAAACGACAGGAGGCTTTTTATAGCTACCATGAGTTAGTCAGTCTCTTGTAGCCTTGTTCATTTTTGTAGTTTGTAAACTAATATCGTAGAACCTAAATACTTTGTTGTTGCCTTTATATTTAAATTTTTGTTAGAAAAAATAATTTTATGACATAATAAAGTTTATATTTTATATTTATATACTTTTTTTCATAGCAACTGTTAAAATTGTCTTATATCTATCAAAAATAGTACTTTAACCGCAAGGGTATATTCTGTTTTTTTTCTCAGGTAAGATCATAGATAAATGAAACAAGTTTAGATTGGAAAGTGCCCATAAGGACAATGTAAACTCTATTTGGCGCTATTCTTGCAACGGTCGCGACCCAAAACTTTTGAAAATTTCGG